TGGGCAAACTTTTTGACTCGAGGGCCACAATGGGTTCTTAAACTGGACCGGAGGGCTGGAACAAAAGCATGGATGGAGTGTTTGTGTGAACTAATATAAATTCAAAGTAAACATCATTACATAAAAGGGTACGGTCTTTTTTTTTTTTTTTTTTTTAGTTTTATTCATTTCAAACGGGCCGTAGTTTGCCCACGGCTGGCATAGAGTAGTGGCTGTGGAAGTAATGAGACAGATATTTAAGTAATTTTGGCACAATCACAGGTGAAGACCTTTATTTAGGGATTCTTCCAAATGCAGGTGAAAGGAAATAATGTAAACTTCCCTAAATGAGTAGGAGGACAGACAGAATGATGGAAACAAAAGCCAGAGAGGAATTAGAAATTGAAAAGCATCTAGAGACTTGGTGGAAAATAAAGAGAAGCCAAAGAATGGAAGGGGGAAAGAGAAACAAGAGGAAATAATGAGCAGCAACAGAAAAGGAACCAGAGAGAAACAATACTAATAAAATGGAATATAATGGCCAGATGAGAACAGCAGAGATTCATTAATATCCACTGCTGCTGGCTAAAAAGTGATAATGGTTTTATCCATTTTATAGAAAATGGAGAAATCTCAAGAACATTCCAAATTTACCTTTGTACATTTACCAAAAAAAGAGAGAGATAAAAAAAATAATAAGTTAGACCTGAATACTAACATTTTAAAAATACAGCTACTCAGATGCTGCCTATGTTTTATCATAATACTAGAGGCCCAGCACACGAAATCGCGAGAGACCAACCCGCTGCGCCAGCGGGACCCAGACCCTGCCATGTCACAAGACCCAACAATGCACCTCCTGGTGACCGGTCGTTTGGTTGTTATGCCATTACGGCATTACGGTCACTCTATTTTTATAATATAGATAAGGAGAAATGAGGAGAAACTAACATTTCTAAAATGGTGCAGCCTATCAAATACGACTGAAATAGAAATGATAAGATCACAGTTTGAGGGTGACACTGTTTAAGCTCAGGTTCACAAAAAAGAAATACCATTCAATTATGATAAGAAAAGTCATATTCTAAAATGTACATTGGTCAAAACCATGGTTACTAGATTCTCCCATATCCAAGACTAAGGCTACACTGAGCACTGTTTCTTAAGATAAGGAAATGGAGTAACAGACACACACCAGTGAAATATCTCAATCTACACAGAACAAGTGAAAAACCTTTGTAGACTGCACCATGAAAAACTTGTAATGATTTCCAAAATGAATGTAAAATGCATTTATCTTTGAGGCAAAGCAAGAAAGAGAATGGAGAAAAGCAAAGAACAATTCACCTTGTAAATGGACCAATTTCTTTTCAAGGAAATGGCAGAAGTTGAAAAAGAAAATCATAAGACAGGGCATTCTTCTGTAGAACTATGGATTTAATAATACTATAAGAAAAACCTATAATATGCAATTTGAGCCAGATGGCAACCGATGCAAAGAAGAAACAGAACAAGTCCCTCAAAGTCAAATGAATGTCTCATGAAGAATGAACTGCTGCCATCTCCATCACAACATCTGGAGATGAGGTTTTAAAAAAAAACCCACCAAAAACACACACACAACTTATTTTGAGAGCAAATTAAAATGTATGTTTACCTGACATTGTGGCTACTCACAGGAAAAGCAAATAGTTTCCCACCATCTCTACTATACTTGTGCTCTGGTACTCAAAAACCGTATGTCAGATTAAGAGCCAATGAGGGTTAGCCATAGAAACAAGGACATTTAAAGCAAACATTTTTTTTAGCTATCTTAAGTTTTTCTTTTTTTCAAAAAACAATGAGGCCAGACTTGCTAGCTGTATGACCTGGGCAAGCCACTCATTCTTTCTATCTGGGGTTCCTCTTCTATACAACAGGGATAATACCTCACAGGGTTACTGTGGGAACTAAATGATTTAATATGTGTTAAAAGCTTAGAATAGTACCTGGTGCACAGTATGCACCATATAAATATTTGTTACAAAAAAATTAAGATATATATATATACATATATATATATATTTATCTACTGATGGACATTTGGGCTGCTCCCAAATCATGGTCCCAAATCATGGCTATTGTAAATAACACTGCAATAAACATAGGAGTGCATATATTCTTCCCGAATTAGTGTTCTGGTGGGGTGTGTGTGTGTGTGTGTGTGTGTGTGTGTGTATGTGAAGGGATTGAGCAAAAAAGAAAAGAGAAAAAAATTATGGACAATAGTGCAGTGATCGCTGGGGAAAGGGGGGACGGGATGGGGGGAAGGGGGTTGAAGAGGGTATAGTTAGGATAAATGGTGATGGGTGGAAACTAAAATAATAATAATAAATAAGTTATTTATATAATTTTTATTAAAAATATTTGGGTCAAACCCTATGTTAGGCTCTGAGTGTACAAAGACCAATACATCAGGATAGAAGACAGGTGAAGAAACAATCATCACAAAAGAACAAGAACGGTGCAGTGACAGAGATGAGCACAGTCCACTTGCGAGCGCACAGAGGACATTGAACTTAACTGCGTCCTCACTGAGGCTGAGTCTTCACAATGACGCCCTTCCTAACTGAATCAGACTTGGCCATATTTACCCAATTCCCACAGGAGAAGGTGCCTACTTTTGTCAGCGAAGAGAAGCTGGTCACAAAGAACAAGTCAGGTAGCATAGGAAACAGGTGACAATCTCCTCATAGTATTCAAAACGAAACGTGGTTTCCCTCTCTAGGTTCAAATGGCAGAGCCTACAAGTAGCCTTTCACTCTCAATTTCATTTTCATTGTAAACAAGACATAACCTAAAACTTGGCTACCAGGTACTTCTTGAAAATATGGTTTTAAAATTTCCTCAGCATTAAATCAAAATGAAAATTCAAGTATCTTTTTTTGAAGGCATACTATTGTCTCCATATACTTGACCAACATTTTCATTCTAGTATTTGTGATTTTTTAAAAATTTTTTTTAGTTTTGCCCCTCAAAGTTAAGGTTAAGAAGGGCAGTGTTAACTCTGGTTGGTCTCTAGTGAAACCTCCAAGATTCACTATGTTAGATTCACTAATCCCTGAGAAAGTTTTCTTTTCCCCAGTTTCAGAAATAGAAAAAGGCCTCTTTATCTAGGTTCTAGATGCCTTGAGAGCCTCTAGTGCTGATTTCTTGACTGTCTATCCTTAAGGTCATAAGACTCTATGCTGGCCACTGAAAGGCCCCTTCACCTCCCCTCACATACCCTTGGCAATGGGCTACCCTTCATTTCTGTGTCCTCTAACACACCTATGTCATGTAAAGGAAGGGAGGGAAAATGCCAAAACAAAAGTAAAACATCTGATTTTCATGCTACAATTTTCTCTGTCCCACCGGGAGCAATAGGCAAGGACCATCTTAAAAACCGCCTGCTGTTTTCAAAGTGGCAGGAAAAATCCAGATAAACACAATCAAGACTAACTGTTCCTCTTCATTTTACAGCCTAGGTTTTCAGAAAACAGAACAAAAGAAAGTATTTCAAATTAGAATACAAATAAACCATTCATACTTTGGCCATTTTTTATAGATGTCGTGACTTCAAAAGAAAAGCAGATTTTTCTAACCAATAGACAAAAAAAAGGGGGGCAATGGGGTGATAAGGACACGTATGTAATACCTTAATCAATAAAAAAAAATTTTTTTTAAATCTAAGTTTTACCACATTCCAGCAAAATTATTTCTTTTCTTTTTTAAAGTTTTCCATATGTCCAAACTTTAGGTTAAAAACTGGAGTTTTCTTGGCCAAAACTCTTAACCCACATGAGGCAGCTCAGCTGCCTCTATGTTGAACAGCAATGGTGTTCTTCAGAAGGGGTGCACAAAGCCATTTGGACAGGATTCTAATTCAGAGGGGAGGATAATTCCTGAGCACAATTTCCGTGCTTTAACACAGTAGGAATGACTTTGACTGTACTACACATTTTTTTTCTAAAATGTTTTAATATACAAGACTTATCTTCATCCATTTGAAAATTTAAATTCATATGGATAAGAAAATGAAATAAATTCCTGGAGAGCAAGAAGTCAGTCTGTAAAGCTTGTTTCACATCACAATTGGCAAAGTTCTGAAACTTCACTTAATATACCATTTGATGAAATGTATGTAAATATTTATCTACAAACACTCTCATATATTTATGTGACTAATACATATACACACAAACATAAAATCATGCAAAATATTTTAATTTTATCCAGTTAAAGCTTTTGTAAGTTACCAAGTCACTTTTATGATTCTAAAAATTTAAGCACGAGTTAGGAAAGACTTATTAGTGTTTTCCTTATGGACAATGAGTAATGAACAGGCACAAACAGGCCACCTGATCTTCATTAAGCAACAGAACAGTAGCCTGCTTTACCACTCCTGCTGTGCTTTCACACAACCAGGAGCGTCCCACTGACCCACAGCTGCTTCCCGACACCTGGGCCCCAGGAACAGGAGAGGAAAGGGAAAGAGGGAAATAGAAGACACCAGCTCACCTGACCAGTGTGGCTCAGTGGTTGAGCATCGACCTATGAACCATGAGGTCATGGTTTGAGTCCTGGTCAGGGCACATGCCTGAGTTGTGGACTCCATCCCTAGTGAAGGCCGTGCAAGAGGCAGCCTATCGATGATTCTCTCACCACTGATGTTTCTATCTCTCTTTCCCTCTCCCTTCCTCTCTGAAATTAATAAAAATATATTAAAGATTTTAAAAAAGACACTGGCTCAATCACATGTTGCACTTCCATGTTTTAAGACAACATCCCACGGTGGGGCAAAAGTAGGTTTACAGTTGTGAGTACCCGAAACAGAGTTTGTATATTATTATTTATTAACTGTTGTATTTTTCATACAAACAACTGTAAACCTACTTTTGGCTCACCCTATATATACTGTGAGACAAAGTAAAAGGCAAATGACTCTTCTGATGTCATGCTGATCCAATAAAGACAAGAAAGGTAAGAATAAAGACGCTTACCTGTTGTTCCTGCGTTCTGGCAGCATCAAGCACTGAGAGAGACACGGTGAGCTTCTCTTGCTGTTCTGATAGATATTTTTGATAGAGGCTTAGAAGATCTTGGCATTCTCTATACTGCAGCTGAAGAGGTGAGATTGCAAATTAAGGGGAAAAAAACCTAGTAAATGGATTCAAAGTGCATCCATGAGTGCTGCTCTGCAGATTCCAATAAGCAGAATAGAGACAGAAATGCACCCATATTAGGTGAGAGTGCAGGTAAGTGCAGTCTTCAGATGAACACAGTAAAAGTATTCCACCCCCACCAATGAAATAATATTCACAAAGAGTAGCAATGAGTATCTCATTTAAGAGACATTTCTCTCTAAACACTTAAATTTGAATAAAAACAAATGCAAACACATGCAAAAGAATGAGGTTGGACTTCTACCTCACATCATATACAAAACTAACTGAAAAGGCATCAGTGACCTCAATGCAAGAGCTAAAACTATAAAACTCATAAAAGTAAATCTTTGTTTCTTGGATTAGGTAAGGACCACTTAAAAAACAGCAACTAAAGAATAATTAAGCAAATTGGACTTCAAAATTTAAAAGTTTGTGCTTCAAAGGAAGAAATTAAAAGACAATCTCAATGAGAGAAAATATTTGCAAATCATATATATAAGGGACTGATATCCAGAACATAAGAAGACCTTACATGATTCAACAATAAACACTATTAACCTAATTAAGAATGGGCGAAGGACTTGAATAGACATTGCCCCAAAGAAAATATACAAATGGCAAACAGCACAAGAACGGATACTTAGCATCACTAGCCATTAGGGAAATGCAAATCAAAACCACAACGAGATACCACTTTGTATCTACCAGGATGACTATAACAAAAAAGACTGACAATAATAAACACTGACAAGAATATGGAAATATGAGAACCCTTCTCCATGGCTGATGGGAACATAAAATGGTGCTGCTGCTTTGGAAAATAATTTAGCAGTGTCTCAAAAAGTTGATAGAGTTACCATGTGAGCCAAGAGAATTGAAAATATGTGCCCACGTAAAACCTTGTACATACATATTCAAAGAAGCATTATTCATAACCAGAGGCCCAATGCACAAAATTTGTGCAAGGGGCTCAGCCCTTGCACCCCCGGCTGCTGCCTTGGTCCTTGCAGCCCCACCCACTGGTCATTCCAGAAGGTTGTTCTGCCATCCAGTTTCATTAGCATATTAGCTCTTTATTATACAGGATAGTAAAAAAGTGAAAACACCTAAATGTCCACCAAGTGATAAATGAATAAATAAAATGCGGTATATCTACTAGTATGCAATGGAATATTATTCAGCCATAAAAAGAAACAAAGTATTGCTACATGCTACTAAATAAATGAACCTTGAATACATTACACAAAATATTATATATTATATGATTTCATTTATATGAAACTGTTGCTCTTCTTTTTGTTTGTTTTGAATACCTCTTCCAATAAGCTAGGGCAGTGGTCGGCAAACTGTGGCTCGTGAGCCACATGCGGCTCTTTGGCCCCTTGAGTGTGGCTCTTCCACAAAATACCACGTGCGGGCGCGCATGTACAGTGCAATTGAAACTTCGTGGCCCATGCGCAGAAGTCGGTATTTTTTGGAAGAGCCACACTCAAGGGGCCAAAGAGCCGCATGTGGCTCACGAGCCGCAGTTTGCCGACCACAGAGCTAGGGGAAAGAACAGTACTCAGTTCTAAGGATACCAGGTCAGAATAACAGTTACATACATCCATGGCCACTTTCTGTTCCCTTCTCCAACTTTGTTAAGTACCTAGTATATGAGAAAAACTGCAGGGAAGAAAAAGAAATGTCCAGGACAGGCAAATCCATACAGACAGAAAGTGCATTAGTGGTTGTGAAGGTCTGGGAGGGGTGTAGGGGGTCAGGAAGCAACTGCTAACGGTTACGAGTTTTATGGGGGAGGTAATAAACATGCTCTGGAAGTAGATGCTGTCTTTAGGAATATATCAAAACCATTGAGTCATATACGTTATAAGGGTGAATTTTATTATACATGAATTATAAAGCTGTTAGCAAAAACAAACCCACAGAAAACAAATACAGGGTAGAAGTGATCGTATTAGTCTGGTAAAAATAACTACTGCCTAACTTACAAAGTTCGAATATATAGATAGATAGATAGATATAGATATATCTATCTATATATATGGCTAAGTGTCCATCCGACCAGTAGCTATGACGCGCACTGATCACCAGGGGACAGAGACTCAATGCAGGAGCTGCCATGACGCACACTGGCCATTTAAAAATAATAGCACCACGCCGACAAACCAACACTCAGCTTCCCTCAAGTGGGACACAGGACCCACCACCAGCCCAGAGTGACACCCCACCAAATCGCAGCCAAGGCTGCCAAGATCCCATGGCGCAAAATGCGGCCCCCAGCCCAGCCCAGCCCAGCCCAGCCCGGAAATGGACACTGGGCACCAGGTAATGACATCATGTAGCAACGCCCAGCTTCCTTTCCCTAGTGACCAGCCTCCTTGGAGTTTCTTCAGCTCAGGAACACAACTTGCTTTATAGCCAGGTGCAAACATTTTACACTTTAACCAAATGTTTGTGAAGTGTTTTCCCATGCCTCATCTCATTTGATCCTCACAGAAGTCCTGCAGTAGGTAGACAGGAGACTCGGTGGAATCCCATTTTCTTTTCATTAGCAGGAAAATGGAGATTTAGAAAGTTTAGAAACTTGACCTGACTGAAAAGAAGAAAGAAATGGTGGACCTTGAAAATGACTTCAGGTTTTCTCACTGTGCAGAATATAGTCAAACACCGCTACAGTCAAATATTTTACCCTTTGTTCTCCCTGCGTGATCTACAATAATAACCTGCTTCGTGTTGTTAATTACTGCTGTGTTGCTGACAATTACCTGAAAGAGAAGTTGGGGTGCTTCACTGGGCTGGAAAAGTTTAGTCACATCAGAAAGCAGGTCTAATTAGGCAATACATATAAAGCTCTCGCTGGCCCCAATCGCACGCATGTGTTTCCATCTGTCATTGTTGATCGTGAATCTGGTTGACACTTCTATTATAGAGAAAGGGCGAATAGCAATATTAAAATATTTCTTCTAATTAATTTCCTTTCAATGTGCACAAATCCATGCACCGGGACACTAGTATTAAACATAAAGAAATATAATTAGATTTTTGTCGTTTGCTTGGTTTTTGCATACTGTTAATTAAGTCAGTGTTTCAATAATAAAACCATCATGAGGACATTTTCTGTCCATATACCTTCTTACATTTTTTACAGTCTAGTACCGTGGTCGGCAAACTGCGGCTCGCGAGCCACATGCAGCTCTTTGGCCCCTTGAGTGTGGCTCTTCCTAAGCCTTAGGAGTACCCTAATTAAGTTAATAACAATGTATCTACCTATATAGTTTAAGTTTAAAAAATTTAGCTCTCAAAAGAAATTTCAATCATTGTACTGTTGATATTTGGCTCTGTTGACTAATGAGTTTGCCGACCACTGGTCTAGTATGAAGAACATAGCAACCTAACCTGGGGTACCTTTTCCAACAGCTCCTCAAACTTGTGAAGTGCTCAGGATGAAGATGATAAACAGAAAAGGTCACCTAACTGTGTAGATTAGGTGTCTGGGAGACAGACAGTTCTATCCAAGAGTCTGTTCCCTACTTCTCATTGTGGAAATTTCCTCCCAAGGCCCATATTTCTTTCAGATCATTTCTGAATCTCACCCTTACACTTAATTATGTATGCTGTTGGTATAAAAATTACTGTCCAATGAGATTATTCTGTATAAATACTTTTACAACAGGTCATCATGATTAAAGTGGGAATAGTATTTCTTAAATGTCAAAAATGGTGATTGGTTTCAGTATTCCGTAACATTTTCATAACCTAATCACCACTTCTGGGCAGATTCCTGTTCTAATAACCTTGTCAATCATGACTGCATAAATAACCACTTGCTTCGTTATTCTCATTATTAATCTTTAGCAAAAAAGGAACCAGAGATGGCTTGTAGAAGAGGAACTGGTTCATAATGAAAGGAGAGGTTACTAAGCTCAAAGAATACAGTAATTAGAAGAGCTTGTTGAATATGCTGCATCTTAAAAACAACAGTAACAACAACAGACTGAACAGTGATCTAAATAAGCTTAATATTTTTTCAAAGTCAACCTATATCCAGCTATGAGGGCAGGTAATGAAACACATACTTATAATAACATCTGATGAGAGTTGTGGCAAGAACATTATGTAGTGCTATGCTAGCACTTCCTAAGAGGACTTAAATGACCGAGGAACCACAGAAAACCTCTTGTAGAAAAAACTGTTCAAATTGAGAGAAGAGGACCAATGTAACAACATAAAGGGCAGGCAGAGAAAAAGGAATCAATGAAAAGATGTGGTCAGCTGTGTCGAATGCTACAGAGGCCACACCAGTTAAAGACTGAAAGTAGAGGAAGTTACTTGAGAAAGCTACAAGTGTGACATTTCTTAGGTGTTCACCATTTCCCCCAATGTTTTGATAGACAAAAGTTATGTTATTTTCATATCAAAGAAAGAAGCTCCTGGACAGAAAGAGATGTTTTATTTAGGGTCACCTTGAGATACAAACAGTTTACTATGAGGCTGCAACTTGAAGCTATCGATTAGTCACCGACTCCCAGGGAAACATAGTTCAAGATTTTCAGTGGGGCAGGTACTCCTTTCACTCTGAACACCCACATCTACACTAATAAAAGAGAAACATGGTAATTGGCGTATGACCGCTACCCTTCCCATTGGCTAATCAGCATATCCTTATGCAAATTAACTGTCAGCCAAGATGGCGGCCGGCAGCCAGGCAGCTGGAAGCGAACATGAGGCTTCCTTGCTTCAGTGACTGCAGACTCCAAC